CAAGGAGGATCCGGGGATGTTCAATTCTCCGACTTGTTCAGTACCCATGGCTTCAAGCCTCCAAGGCCTTGAGCCACGCACCCAGAAGTTGACCATGAGCTAGTAACCAGCACATTGGGTAAGCTTAGCAGATACATCTCTGCCAAAGCTTTCTGGTTATGCATCTTCTCTGTTAGTTGATACCCTTCATGGCTTCGCTGCTATATGCCAACCACCCGTCCTGTCACCGTAGGATACTCCCAATACATGTCCCTTACCTTTTCAAAATATCCTGAGCTTAAAGATGTAATCAGTACTCATTTTGATGGTCGCTTTTCTGATGAACTCACAGTATCTTGCTTCCTGTTTACGTCAGGCAAAATATTCTCTCTCAAAGTACAGGATAATAACTGATCCAATACATGTTGAAATGGACCTGTTTCTACGTCTCTTTATTGTTTTTTTTTTTTGGGTCAGAGTCCTGTTTCTATGTGAATCACTCTAATCTGGATGCCTAATCTGTCGTCAGCTTTAGCTAAATAAGCTTCATAGTACCTAGTGACAAGTCCCCATACAATGTTGGTGGGGTGGAATAGATATTTACCCAAGAAGTGGAAAATTGTATCCTTCTTTGGGAAGAGATTGTTCAGTTCCTGCTCAAAAGAATGCATTAAGTATAGAGATGGGATGAAGTAATTATCTGTTTTCATCATTAACCAGGCTACTTTCTGCAGACTTTGGTCTTCATCACAGAAGAACAGCTTATCGTGATCATCATAATCATGGGTTAGATGAAGATAGACATAAGATGGTACTGTGGAATTTGTAATTGAATTGTCTTTCAGCATCTTCCCATAACATTGAGCAGATTGCTGATTGAGCTTGTGCATTTCGGTTCACAAGGGCAAATCAGGAGGGAGAAACCAGGAAATATCAGGAAATGGTTCACAAAACAGATCTATCATATCAACTCCAGGATCAACCAGTACGACACGATTTGCGAGAAGAGCGTAAAGAAATGCAGAAGCTAAGGTCAATATCCGATTTCCTAACCCACTAAATGAAATCCAAACTATATATTTACAATCAGGACGCAGTAAAATGCCCAGGCTTGAGCTCTTTCCTGTTTTGTTATAGGATTCAGTATAAGGTCAGCATTCTTTATGGAGAGCTTCATGTTTTCTAAGCCTAGAGATGAGATAAGAAGAAAGCTTTCCTGATAGCCCTTTGCCATATGTGCCTGACATATAACTGATGAGACAAGACCTTTTATCAAATCCAACAGCAAGAAGACCACCCAGGGGTTCATTTCTTTGCAACTCAACAGAATGAGAGAAATCTTGGTTCAAACCTATGTCAGAAAAGAATCAAACCTATGTCAGAAAAGAATATAATCCATTACTTGATCAGATTTTCCAGCAAAAGCAGACAAAAAAACATTCTTGCACCACGGCAAACAAGAATTTTCAGAAAGAGACATTAAGTGAGAAATATGAAACAGAAATCAGTCACACACTAGCAAGGTAATCAGCGCAGCAATTGAGATACTTCAGAAGGGGGAAATGAAATATAATGGTGTATTTCGGGTTTACAAGCACACAATATAATGGGGTATTTCAGATTTACAAGCATCCCATGCAATGCACAGGAAGCACACGCTAGTTCTAATGAAAACAAAGTAGAGGAGGATGCCCTGATTTACTAAAATAGCCATACTTTTTCAACTTCCAATATACCCCCTTCCTTTTAGTCTTTGAAGATTGAAATTAAACCCTCTTATTTGCCAAAAAACGTAAGCATATGCATTAGCAGTGTTAAATATAACATAAAATTAAACTTACAAAACCAAAGAAAGGACAGATTGGTTCAAAAAAAATGACAGCAGCAGAGTTAAGCTAGCAGCCTAGCCCTAGGTGAATTTTACACAGAGAACTTGAAAACAAGAATTTATGTTCCACTTATTTAACAATTGATCCAAGTTGAATAGAATTAATGTAGGCATTTATTACTCATCAGTAATATTTCTCAGTCGACTGAAACAGCTCAACAAGTATATATTTCTTTTCCATTCTATGAAGAACTTGACTTTAAGAGGAAACAAATATACTTTTACCCATTTTAGTAAGTAGAGTATGAAAATAATCCAAACATGTATATGCTCATGGGAAAAGCAAGTGAAAAGTGGTCACCCAGACGCTAACAAGGCACATGGCAACATAAGTCAAGAATAAGCAAGAGCGAAATAGAAAATTGGTCTCGTTCTACTTGGTTGATTATTCTTTGGTTTCTCTTCCTTGAATTGGGCTAAATGGTGAAATAGCTCAATCCAAGAATATAGTTCATTATTATAAAACTAAAAGCACCGATATTATCATTTTATTTTTCACCAGTATCAGCATATAATTTATAAGGAGTCAACAAAACTCGTAAGCTTATACAAAACTAGAATGTAGCGGGCCAAAAAAGATCAAAAATTAAGGTGGGGGTATGAATCAAAGAGTTAGAGCTGAACAGTTCAAATTGATCAAAACAGTTAACCATTTCGAGGTCTGATTCAAAGGAGAAGCTGTAACGCAACTTCCACAATAAATTAAAATACAAGTACACAACTACCTTCACTTTGTTTAGGCTGAAATATATCAGACGTAGATGCCTCAGCAACGTCATCTGAAGGGGGCTCTTGGAGAACCATCGACACTGAAAGCAATGCAGAGAAGAGCATCAAACAAAGCAGGAAGAACCCCATCGATTGCTTCAAATTAAGCCCACATTTTTTGTCAGAGCCTCCTGAAAAGTCTCTGCGGCTGACCAAATTTGAGAGCTTTTCTGCCACGTCATATGGATTCCTATTGACCCTCTTCATCGTACCCACAAATCATCATCTGGGTAAGCCCACACAGCTCGGTTCCAACCAAATGGTCAAGATCATGCAATTCAACAGATCATATGTCTGAGTGTCGGGGATGATGAGCGAGGCCAGGACTGTAAAATAGTGATGCAAAGAGTCAGATCGTAGATCATGTCAGCAGCTGAACATCAAAATATGGAACATCATTGTAAATTAAAAAAAAGAAGAAGAAGCAAGAATTATAATGAAAGCTGGCAGATTCTGCTTATGAGGTTATTCTTACAGAGTGACATCATCCCATAATGTAGTACGTTTACTTCCTTATCAGTTATCATATCAAAGGGATTGGTAAATAATTTAGCCATCATATGACTCAAACTTTAATACCTGTTAGTAGTGAGAAAAAGGCTTGATAGGAGTTGCAAAAGTAAGAAGGAACTAATTGGGCATGATTTCAATCTTAACTCTCACATTTTTTTCTTTACGTGAACCAAGCAAGCAATGTTCATTAATAAGCAGGCATACTAGATGGACATCTCTATCTTGTCTGCCTTGCTGCGACTATCATTCTTGCTTCTATATGGACTCAATTGTACGAAATCTATAACCATTAAGGTTGCTTCAACAAGACCTTGTCTGTGCATCATTTCTTTTACAGAACAGAAATCAGTTCAAGTGAAAACCCTATACTCCGTAACTTAGTATCAACCAGTTGCTCCCTCTTTGAATGATTACATGCTTTTAATATAGTAGATGCGATTTTGCTACACTGCCTGCTATAATAATGAGTAATGTATTCCTTGTTGATAGAGTGAAGGTAACCATATTGTGCCTCTGAGTCATCCAATCTGCAACTCACTTTAGGACAAGTCAAGGTTACGGGCATGCTTAGAACAAAATATTATCCCCAAGAAAACATTATTCCAAGCTACCTTTGGGTTCAGGACCTTGGCAATAAATAGTTCCAACAACAGATCCCCGTGACACATTAATTTTCCTCTCACTACTCAAGAGCAAACAAAAAGAAAAGGTCCATTAACTGTGGATGATGAGCCCCAAAAGCCACATGCTCTACCAGAAGCCTTGCTTTCCAAGCAACCATGATAGCTCCTGTGGCTGCTACCAAAAAAACATAAATAAATGTCAGCTTAAGACTGGTGAAGGAGAGTTTAACTACTTGAGCAACATTTTGATGATGATAAAGAATCTGCACAAACAAGCGATCAATGTCCAAAAAACTTGAATACACAGACAAACTGGAGACTGAAAATCATTGAGAATGCATCAAATGCAACTTATAACTTAATCAAATAGCAATTATTGTAAAAAATCACGCTCATTACCAATTGCAAAACATCTCAGAAGAGCTCCAGAATTTTCTTGGACATTTGAACCACTCTTCAAGGGTTTGAATGCCTTGGCATGTAGCCATAAGCTTTTATGTTCCTAGTCAAATGCTCAAGAGCATCATATATCTCTGTTTTCAGAGCATGACTATCATCCGCTGTCACAAATTCATTCACCTCGGTTTCCACCACTATCAAGCTGCAACCAGGAGATCTTGACTTTTTTATCTGATTTCTGACAATCATTTTCTTATTCCACATGCCTTTATCAGCGTAGATATTAGACATCGCAACAGAGTCACCCACATAATCGGGGTCCAACTCAAGTAGCTTCCCCCTAACTTCTGCGCCTAGCTCTATGTTGCTATGGAGGCTGCATGCCCCCAACAAGGTTCGCCACATTACTGTATTTGACCTCACAGGCATCTCCATAATGAAGTCATAAGCATCTCCCAAACATCCGGCCCTGCAAAAAAGATCCACCATGCAACCAAAGTGAGGCTCTCTAGGTCGTATACCATAACTTTCAGTCATACTTATAAAATGGTGCTTCCCTTCCTCAACCAACCCTGCATGGCTGCAGGCCATTAAAACTCCTATGAACGTCACATCATTTGGGACTATGAGACAATTGCTAGAATTCGGTGTTTTACTGTTTCTCCTTGTGCTTATTTCTGAGAAAAGCTCAAGAGCTTCTTCTGCCTGCCCATGCAGCGCATGCCCCACAATCATGGATGTCCAAGTTGTAACATCTTTGTTTCTAGTGCTATCAAACAATCTCCTTGCAGCCATGATGTCCCCACATTTAGCATACATATTAATAAGAGCATTATTCAGGGTCAAATCTTTGTTTAGACCTTTTTTTCTTCTAAGAAAATTGTGGATCCATTCACCTGTTTCAAGTGCCCCAATGTCAGCACAGGCAGAGAGAGCAACAGTAACTGTGACTTGGTCAGGCTCCACATTGTTCATCTGCATCTGTCTGAACAGCTGTAAGCCTTTGCAGGGTCTCTGATTTTCAACATAAGCAGAAATCAGAGACGTCCAACATATACTATTTTTACGAGGTATTTCATCAAACACCTTGTGGGCGTCCTCCAGCTTTCCCCAGTCAGAGTACATTTTCAGAAGGCATGTCTGGAGTTGAACTATTGTTTCGAATCCAAACTTTATGATGAGACAATGAATTTGGTTTCCAAGGCTGGTGGAATGCTTTTTGTGGGTGCAAGCCTTGAGAGCAAACAAGAAAGAGAAGCTATCAATGGAAGAGGCTCTTTCTCTAAGCAAGTACCTAAACAGTAGGAGAACCTTGGCTGGGTGATTGCAATCTAGGTACTTCTTAAGGCTTTGGTTTGACCTTGGAGGTCTGAGGTGAATGTGGAAGTGACGCTTGGGAAGAAACAATAACTTGCTCAAACTCACTTGAACTAACAATGGCAACTTTTTTGAGGTCATAATCTACGTCAAGAAGCCCACGAGCGTCAAGCAACATCCCATAAACGGTTAGTGTGTGTTTGGTTTTGAAGTTTGTGAAACAGCATTTGGATAAACTAGAGTTTGCAAACTGAAATTTAGGCAAATGTCAGCTATTGTGATGTTATTTATATTCATACAGTTTTTTGTTTAACAAAAGAGTCGGTTTGGCAAATTAAAACTTGTTTGAATGATACAAAGCATGTTTAGATATGTAATGACTGAAAGGGACGTCAGTTTTATGATGTGTGTCCGTGAGAGAGAGAGAAAATTAAGCTGCATATGATATATAATTTTGATATCTTCAATAAATAAAAATATTAAAAGGAATGTCACTATGAGGAGGAGGAGGAGGAAAGCTAAATTGGTATAGTAGCACATGAAAAACTGCTTTACTGTAATATGAAGCTCATAATGAAGTTTTTCAAGTAATTTTCTTAGGTAAGGTCTTGGGTTTTGTCCAAAGTTTTACTGAAATAGCAACAGTCCAAGCTATCGTAACAGACAAAAAATGGTCCTCTCTCCGCCAGAGCGAGGAGCAGAGAGGAAGCAATACCAACAAGAACCCAAAAAAAAAAAAAAGATAAAGAACCGAATCCGGCTGTATAGAGCATAAGAAATTTTTTCTGGTCTGCATCGAAAGACAGAAGTCAAGAACCAACCGAATCCAACAAATCAAACGCAAGTCAAGATCATTCTTTTCTGTCTATAATAGAACTAGAGGAGGATGCAGTAGAAGAAAGCTTTACCACTTACCAGGGAAAAAAATGGTGCGCAGGGAAGGATCGCACAAAGACCAGAAACGCCGAGCAGGGAAGAAAACAGCCGACGAAGGCAAAGGTCCGGCGACCAACGACAGGGACAACGGAGAGAGACAACCGAGATCGAACGCGGGCATAGACCTTCCGATCGGCTACTTCCTCGCTGCCCTGATCGGCAACAACAGTGCAGACAGCAGAGGAAGTGTAGTGTTGGCTTTAGTGCTGTTTGGTTTGAGGGGAGAGAGGGAGAGGGGCTTGTTTGATTTGATTAAAAGAAAAGAGAGGAAGGGATATTTAATATTTGGTTTAAGAAAAAGAGGAGAGAGAAATAGTAATAATTAATTTACTATTTTATCTTTATATATTAGTTTATATTTTATTGATATATTATATAAATTAATTTACATCTTAATTTAAATCATATAATTTAATAAAAATTCAGTATTATCATGTTAACATGTGTATTAAAAAATCGGTACAGTATTTTTTAATTCTAATTTTTTTAGGCTAGGCCCTTTTTCAACTTTAAAATGTATTTAATAAATAATATATTTATAAAAAATAATTAATTTTATAATATTTTAATATTTTATTTTTATAATAATTTATATTAATTTTTATTATAATATATTTTTAATTCTAATAATTTATATTTTTTTATTTTTTACTTAGGATAATATTTTTTTTATTTAAAATAAATATTATAATAACATATTTTATGGGTGGTTGTAGAATATCAAAAAAATCATAAGAGTATAATGGTTTAAAAATTTAGCTCTCCCAAAAACTCTCAATTTGGAGGGGAACTAAGGGTTTGTTTGGTTTGAGGGGAAGGAGGGGTAGGGGAGGGGAGGGGAGGTTTCATCCTCATCTTGTTTGGTTTGATTAAAAATGAGAGGAGGAGAGGATATTTAATGATCCCTTGTTTGGTTCAAGGAGGGGAGGGGATGGATAGTAATAATCAATTTACCATTTTACCCTTACATATTAGTTTATGTTTTTTATTGATATATTATATAAATTAATTTACATCTTAATTTAAATCATATAATTTAATAAAAATTTAGTCTTATCATGTTAATGTGTATTAAAAAATTGGTACAGTAATTTTTTATTCTAATTAATATAATAATATATTTAAAATAATCAAATTAACAAATTTTATATGCTCTAAGAAAAATGAAATTTTATTCTCTTTAGGCTATCTTTTTTTCCAGCTTTAAAATATATTTAATAAATAATATATTTATAAAAACAATTAATTTTATAATATTATAATTTTTTATTTAAATAATTTTTTATTTTTAAATAAATTTTTATAATAAATTTTTAATTATAATCATGTATTTATTTTTTATTTTTTTACTTAGGATAATATATTTTTTTTGAAATAAATATTATAATAATATATTTTATAAGTGGAATATTGAAAAAACTATAAGGGCATAATGGTCTAAAAATTTGGCTCCCCTCTAAAAACCTCCAATTTGGAAGGGAGCCAAAATGGGGGGAGGGAGGGGAGGGGACATTTTAGCTCCCTTTCCCTTCAAAATTTTTAACCAAATAAGGGGAGGGGCTCATTTTCCCTCCCCTCCCCTCCCCTTCCCTCCAGCCAAACACACCCTATAATGGAGGGAGGGGAGGGGAGGGAACATTTTGGCTTCCCTCCCTTCTAAAATTTTTAACCAAATGAGGGAAGAGGCTCATTTTCCCTTCCCTCCAACCAAACACACCCTTAGAGCAGAACGTATGTTTTGCCAATAATTTAGGTTTAATTGTATCATTATTAATAATTAACAAAAATATCAAGCATAATAAAATTTATGATAATCTGATTGAAAGTGCTAAATATTCTTTGATATTTATATCAATATGCAAGATAAAAAGTAATGGAAAAAAATTACATTACCCTGCGCTTTTTAGTGTTTAATCAAAATAAAAATATACAAAAAACACATGTTGCTTTTTGTATAAGAAAAAAAAAACACGTTGCTTTATGAAATAAACTAGAAAGCAATAGTAGAAGTTAAGTAGGGGATTTGTTAATTTATCATAAAATAGAGAGAGATTGTTAGACATATAAATATAACTGATTAAGGGCTATCTTGAACTCACCTACAACATTCCCCGTGTTCTTTCAAGATGGACTCTAGCTGCTAACTGCTGTTGTCGTTTTGATGGCAACGTGTACTAGGCTTGTCTTGTTTCTTTCTAATGTTGTTGTTTTTCTGTTGTGTTGGCCGACCTCTTTTCTTGAGTTATTTGAACTTAGCTCAAATGGACCAATCATGATTTGCCAACCTTTTTAATGTAATTTTTTATTTGATTTTTGAGTAAAATTGTCTTTTTATTAAAAAAAAGAATAACTAATTAAGAAGGGTTGACTATAACTCAATTTTAATATATATATATGTATATATTGATTTCTATATATACAAATATTTTATATATGTGTGTGTAAATGTATATGTTAATTAACGATATCTATGGAGGAAAGTATTTCAATTTTCAGGGTGTTTTTCGTTATATTGTTCCATATCTTGGGAGGATTTGTTTAGTAGGCTATGCCTGAATTAGCACTGATAAAATTTGGCCCAAAAAAAATTAGAATCCGGCAAAGTGAATTTTTTTTTTTAATTTGACTCTTGCCAATTTAAGATAAAACAAAAATTAATTTGCATAATTTGATTTATATTTGGTTAATTTTTACAAAAGTCACAGAAAATTGTTTATAGATAATTAATGGCAAAAAAGTTTAAGTTTAGATACAAAATAACTGATTTTTATTAAATAATATACATTAAACGATGTAGTTAATAAATAAATGTATTATTTTATCAAATAATACATATATATATTAAAATATAATTTTAAGAGAAATATTAAAATTAAAAATTACAAAAATAGTTAAGGTATGAATTAAAAAATTGAAAATACTAACAGACTCTCGATATACATGAGCTCATAACATTATTACGCTCATGCATATTGATATATATATATATATATATATATATATAATGTTTACAAATGATTTCAGTTACATGTGTATGATATATATCAAGTGTCCATTTAGTATAAGGGAAATAAAGGGAAGGGGAGGGGGAAAAAATTTTAATGAGCTCGATTTTAAAAATTGAAGAAGTAGGGTTAAGAACTTTCAATTGATTAATATTATTATTTTATCTTACATCTACTCTTTATTAAAATTTTAATGCCTCACTTCTCCTTATGGGTAGTAATACCGGCCAACTCGCAACCCGTGATGAGTTAAGATTAAATGGTGCAAGTTGAAAAGATCCGTGTAACGACGAGTTGGCTTTTAGTCCTCCCTAACCTGTCATAGTGGATTGACGGGTTGGCGGGCCAACCCGCCAACTATTATATTCTTTTTTAAAACTTTTTTCAATTTTTTAAATATTTTTTCTGATGCAATATAAAAAAATATAATAAAATTTTTATTTTTTATTCAAATACTTATTGAAAACATCAAATAAATGATATTGGTATTTTTTTTATTTTTTATATAGGATATAAAATATAATGATATAATTGTAATAATTAATAAAATTAAAAAAAATCCTGATGGGTTATAGATTAAGAGGTGCGGATTAAAAAGTTTCGTTTACTGGTGATGTGACTTTTCGCTGGCCCTAATCTGTCATTTTTTGTAGATTGACAGGTTAGACCCACGTCCCACGAGTCAAATCCATGTGACCAGCTCTACTTCTTTTATTTTTCAAATTGAGCTCAATGAAATTTTTTCTTCTCTCCATTTTCCTCCAATACCAAATATAGGGTAAAGGTTGTCTGAAAAAATAAAGAGTAGTGATCATCAAGGTAAAGGAAATAAAGATATCAATATCATGCTAGCCACTCAAAGATGAAAAACATAAAGGTCATGAAAAGATTATTTACAAAAAGCTTAAAAAGATTATTGAAGATATTAAAGAAACTTTTTGGATTCATTAAAACATTGGTCTAATTAGAGGCTAGAAATCTTTGTTGTGAATTCTTTGACTTAAGGTGTACCCTTGTCAAAGGAACGGATCAGATGTGTTGGCTTGAGCTTTTGGTCATTAATCATATCATCTTGTATAGGTGTGACCCTTGTTAGATTCCGTAATCACCTACTATTCTAATACTTAATATAAGATCGAATTAACTTATTTAGAGAGAGTAATTTAAAAAGTTTAATAAATCATCTTAAAATATTTATATTTATTTTTTTCAAATTAACTTGCTACGCTTATAAATTGATATATAATATAATAATACATATAAATATTTTCAAGAGATTATGTACCACATGTTATAACTAAGGGCCTATTTGGTGTGCTGAAAATCTTGCAAGGGAAAAGGAAAATCCATATTTTCCATCAGCCGAAGACGTTTGGTTGCCCAATCTTCCTCGAAGCCATTTTTTGGCAGCGGGACATTTTTCTTTAAAGACGGGAAGATGGCTTCCCACTATTTTTGGTGGGAAACCATTTTCCATCCAACTGAGAAAATTTTTGGGACAACTTGACCCCTAAAAGAGAAAGTAACAGTGACGGAAATAATGAGGAAGAAGAGGAAGGGCCAGATGGAGCATCAAAATTATATGGTTAAAGTAAGAAATGAGATGAAACACATTTAAATACTCTCTAAATTAAACTACTGAACAATGAGTGGGCATTTTTAGATGAAGCAATCTGATCTTCCCCATTCGATACTTGAAAAACAACGTGTTCGGTGTTGCTGAATGTGAGTGACCTATGCAGGAGGAAGATTATTGCGTTAATCAACTCTTTAACAGCAACAATGTGTTCAATTTGTGTTAGCCAACTCTTTATAAGCTTCTTAACAACATATACCTCAATTAAAAAATTGTTCTCATATGAAATATATATGATTTTTCAAATCTGGTTCAAAATCTAGAAAAAAACGCTTCTCACCCTTGCTTACTATTTTGACCATAACTTTAAAATTACAAATTATTTTTGAATGGTCTTGTTACATTAAAACTATACTCAGAAAACTTTTCAATAATAGTTTTTTGCCCAAATTGAATTTAAAGTGAGAAAGTTATGTATAATTGAAAATTACTCTTTTCAATCTATCTAAAACAAAGTGTAACAAAGTTATGAGTAAGACGCAATGAAATTTGAATTTTGTGCGAAAGTTGGAATGTATCATGCATGGATTGAGATTTGTTTATACAAATT